GGCTTACTTGGAGGGTCGGGGGACTTAGTAAGTAGCTCTTACTATAGGGTTATAAGCATCATAACCCCAATTAGGATCCCCGTTGGGTTACTTATAAGTCTACTTGTCCCCCGACCCTCCGAGTAGGATGTAGGTACATGGAGCCTTTGGGAAACCCTAAACCCTAAACCCCTAAACCCTAAGCCCTAAACCCCTAAACCCTGAGATCCTAAACCCTAGGGATTCAGGTTTAGGAGTTCGGGTTGAGGGATTCAGAGGGATTCGGGTTTAGGGGTTGCTACAAAGGATACTTTCCATGTCTCAACAAAAGTTTTATAGGGCTTATAGGGTTGCTAACGGGATCCTTTCCGTGTTACCACTATGAATTTCTATGGAGGATACGTTGAGGTTGCACAAAGGGGCGTTACTTTTAGTGTCTCATCGGGATCATAAGGCCTTCAAGCTAGGGTTACTATAACTGCGATTGAATAGGGCTATTACAGCGGTTGTAAAGCTTAGGCAGGCTTCCATCACACATATTGTCAGGGTTTTGTCTCGGGGTGACCATGAGGACTGTACTTGGAGGGTCATGGGACTTAGTGACTAGGGTTATAAATAGAGGGTAAGTATAGTTATGATTACTTATAGCCCCAGTCAGGGTACTCATAATTATAGTATAAGGGGCCCCCAAACCCCATTAAAGGCCCCCTGTAGTAAGTTCCCAGAGAGCCCAACACCGCTTGATTAAGGAATATGGCTTAAACTATATAGGGCTTCATGCTATGACTTAAGCTATATTCCTTAATTAAGGGGTATTGGGCTCTCTGGGTAGTAAGTTCCTCGGAGCCTCAACCCTCCGTTCTCGAATCCCTCGGCCCCGAGTTTAACACTTATCCAAGGACCCTACTTGGAGGATCATGGGGACTTAGTAAGTAAGGTTGTAAAGGGCCCCTTTAAAGGATCTATAGGGGCACTGTAATGGTTTAGGGTTTAGGGTTTAGGGTCTACTACTTGGAGGATCATGGGAGACTTAGTAAGCAAGGTTACAAGGGTTCTATACTAGAAGCGTTCAATTAAGGGTCCTTTTTAAGGGGCTCTATATTATATTATATGGGTTTAGGGTTTAAGGCCTACTTGGTGGGTCAGGGGACAGAGCAAGGGTTCTTAAAAGGGCTCCTTAAAGGGATCTATAGGGGTAATATATGGGTTTAGGTTTTAGGGTCTACTACTTGGAGGATCAGGGGACTTGGTAAGAGTTCTTAAAAGGGCTCCTTAAAGGGATGTATATAGGGTTCCTTAAAGGAACTATTTTGTTTAGTTTAGGGTTTAGGGTCTACTTGGAGGATCATGGGACTTAGCAAGTAAGGCCTTACAGCAGCCCTTGAACAGCCTCGGCACCTCGGCCCACAGGAATTTAAAGAATACCTAGGGTTAGGGTTCCTTTAAGGGATCTATAACTAGGTGGGGCTTTTAAAGCCTTTGAAAAAATATCAGTAAACAAGAGCCTTTGAAGAATCTTAATAACAAAGATCCTCTTCAGCCCAAGAAGGGAAACTATAGAATGTCTCAAAGCCCTACCTAGATAAGGTATTTATAATACCTAGGGGTAGGGTTCCTTTAAGGGATCTGCAAGGGATCTACAGTAGAAGCCAGAAAGTTGGAACATCATGAGCCTCATGCCCTTAAAGTAAAGTATTGGGGATCCCAGCATGAATCATCCTAAACCTATGTTCCAACTTTCTGGGGTTCACTATATGGGTTTAAGGTTTTAGGAAAGCAATGCAGCCCAGCGGCGCTTCAGACGGCTGGCTTCCGAGTAGTTGGCATCAGACCATGGGCCTACTTGAAGGATCCCTTTAAAGGGCTCCTTATAAAGGGATCTATAAGGGTTCCTTAAAGGGATCTATGGGGTTTAGGGTTTAGGTTAGAAGGGGCCCCCACCCTGTAATAGTGACCATAAGGATTATATAGGATTATATTAGGGCCCTATTATATTCCTAGTATACCACTATTACAGGGTGGGGGCAGCTTCTAAGGTTTAGGTTTTGGGGTTTAGGGCTTTCTTGCTTTGATTCCCAATACAGTAGCAGTCTATAGTAAGGGGACTATGAAGGGCCTCATACATCTTCAACTTACACATTTTTGCCATTATTCCTAAGTACTATATGTTATTGCTTTGCTTATTTTTTGTGGTCACAATCCTGCTGTTGCTGTTGCTCTCGATAACAATGTGGTTACCATGATTGACATTGTGTCGAATGTGCTTTTATCGTCTTAAAGGCTTCAATGAGCTTGTAGTGACGTGCCTCAACGGGTTGTTTTGAATAGTGGGGTTGTTCTGGTATTTAGCTTTCTTAATCTGCACTCTGACTGTTCTTCAGGTGTAATATGGGGGCCGTAATAATTAGAATAGCGTTTATTTTGGGGTGTATTACCCTATACTTATAATAAGGCCCCCCCCCCAAAAAAAAAAACAAAGTATAGGTAGTTGTTAAGGCCCCTGCATTAGGGGTTTCGGGGTTGGGAGATCGGTTGGAGCTGAAGCTGAAAATGGAGCCTTGAGGGGTGGAAGGGCTATCTTAGAAGCTGCCCCCACCCTGTAATAGTGACTATAAGGCTTATATTAGGGCCCTATTATATTCCTATTATACCACTATTACAGGGTGGGCGCAGCTTCTAAAGGGCCATCTTTCAGGGGCGCCGGACTAAGTAGAGCTTGCCTTTTCGAGGGAGGGGGAATTCGGCACCATGACAATATTATGGAGCCCTAAGACACAGGGCTACTTATCACTCCAGCCTTCCAGTAAGCATTCGAGATCCTACAGCGCTTAAACCCCCAGAAGATGCACGGACGCTACCGCTTTGTAGTACATCATGGATAAACTTACTACCCCAATAAGCCACAGAAATAAAAGGTTAAACTTTCCGATTCCTCTTAAACTATAAGAATCCAAAAAGTTTAAAGGTTGGGTATTGGGGAACTAAGTAAACAACGGAAGCTGAAAAATTTCACGAGGTAGGTTCCGAAGGGTCCCGTACTCAGTGAAGGAACAACTACCCCGATGCTGGAACCCGTCTTCAACACTCTCTTCGCAGGAAACTTAGCAAATCTCCATGGATCCCAAACCCAGAACCTGAACGACAAAGCACGAAAACCCCTCAACCCAAAACCAAAAACCTGAAGGACAAAGCACCCAAAGCCCTGAACCCCAAGCCCTAAACCCAAAACCCCAAACTCAGAACCTGAATGACAAACCACCCTCGGCCCAAAGCCCTAGACCCCAATCCCAGAACCTGTAGGACAACGCACGCGCCTGGGTGAGCGAGAGCCCCCGCGGACTGTGGGCGCGGACGGGGTCGCCCAGGGGCCGGTGGCGGCGCAGGTGGCGGTCTGTGCTGCATGATGATTTGCCTGCTCAAGGGCTCAAGGGCCTTAGGGTTTTTTGGGCTTAAGGTTTTAGGTTTAGGGCTTTAGGTTCAGGGTTGAAGGTTTAGGGTTTTACGTTTAGGGTTGAAGGTTTAATTTTGGAATGTCGTCATGACATGGGTTTCTGCAGGGTTGCGCGGTTATAGAGTCTCGGGGTAGATCCGACTAAACTCTAAAGCCTAGCCCAGCGCATGTTTTTGGGAGGTTCCGGAATGATTTGAGTACGGTTTCGGGGGTAAGTCATGAGTTAAGAAAAGGAAGAACTACAAGGCATCTTGTCACTAATGGAAAACCATCACCCTGGTTCTAGAACCCCTGCAAACACCTCTTTAACCCAGACCCCCGGGAGGATCTACAAAGTAGATCCCCTAGTTTGGGGCCCTATACTACTAAGAATACTTTAGCGGAACCCCCATTCAGGGATCTACTTTTTAGATCCTCCCGGGTCCCGAACATAATTATCCCGAGCAAGTCCGAGGAAGAGCTTAAGTCGTCAGCTTGTATGGATTTTTGTAGGATCTTGTGAGCAAGTATGGGGTTTTGTGATTTTTTCAAGCGTTCGCGATCGAGGGACTTTGCCTGTAAGTTATCTGTGGAGCCGTACGTACTCGATCGGAGGTTATCCGAATGATTTGTAATTGTGCGGAAGGAAGGAACGAAACCCCAAAGGCACCGAAGCCATTGACAACTGTCCGAAGTAATACCAAATAGTTCTCAAGTTGAAGCCACTTCATCCCTAAATCGTACTCCTAAGCCAATTTCTGCACCCTAAGCCCTAAGCCCTGAGCACCGAAACCTCAGATCCTGAACCGACGACTGCAAGCTTTGAGATCATACCAGGCTTTGGTGCACCGCCAGTGTTCTCGACTTCAAGCAGCAACCCTGAACCCTAAACCCCTCGGCGACAAACCCAAGAAGCCCTAAAACTCATCACTCCAACACTTACGCCAAGCCCACGAGCTGCATGGGAACAAATACACCTCTTACCCCTTAACGGTAAACACCTGAACCGCCACAACATCCCACACCCCAAATCATCGACCCTTAGCCTCTTTACGCCCCAACATACCCGAAGCCTATTCACCATTCAAAACCCTTGTAGAAACCGACCGTAAACACGAATGGCCCTTTAAAACTCAAACCCTCTTGAGGCCTCTGCCGCCTGTGTAGGGAGCCTGCAGAACCCGCAGAGTCCGAGGAGCTGTCCGAGGAGCTATCCGATTCCACCTGGGTTTATGAGGGTTTAAGGTTTCCGGTTTAGGAGTTTAGGTCTACTTGTCGAGTATCCTTGGAAACTGCAGGGTTATACAGGGATTACAGCACCCCAAAGGTCAACGTTCACCCTCTTCACTACTAGGTCGAGGTTGGCCCTTGAAAGCCTTTGACTGATATTCGTGAATAAAATCCTCTCAGGCTCAATAAGGGGAATGCAAAACGCCCCCACGGCCTACTTAGCTATCTTCATGACGCTGCCATCATGACATGATCGTCCGCTTGGAAAACCTTTTTAGAAGCACGCCTTGAGCTCCAACACTCATCTGAGTGCAGCGCGATCGAACCTGGAAAGCGGTAAACCAAGATCACATCCAGTCACCCAGTTCTGCCCAGCACGTGATCACGTTCTTGATGGGAAAAGGCATAATCGTGTCCAAGAGCTCTATGTGCAGGGTGTCGAGCGATGCGACAGAGTCGTCCCGGTCGGTCAAGGACACGAAGAGATCGACAAGGTAATAAAGGTCTCGATCTGTCGACATAAGTGCCGTCGGCCGGGTAACAAGCAAAAAAAGGCCCGTCGCTGCAGAAGTGTCGAAGGATTGTCGATGTATTCTTTTCCCACCGTCTTGAAAGCGCCGTCAGACTTGCGGATAAGCGTCGCCGAGAGTGACAGCTCCATAGCTTCGTTTTCACTTACAGGAAGTAGGCTGGCAACCCGCCCCAGATCTGCTTTCAATGTTTCAGGTTCCTCGGTATCTACGTTCATCTCCACGACGTGGGAGAGAACCTCCTGATTCTCGAGCCGGATTTCAATAAGAAGAGCAAACTGGTTGATGGGACACGGCACCTCAATGTCCTCAATCTCCTCTACGCTTGCTGTTGCTGCGTCCAGCTTGCAGCGCCTTATGTAGAGCGCTCGGAAGGAACTGCCCGCAAAGCCAGCTTGCACTAACTTCTGCGTACCGCACCACCTCCTTTCAGTTAAAGGCCTCCACAAGGTATCAGAGGTCGCAACGGCTGCGCAACTTCGGTCGAGGCAGCTTGCTTTTCCCAGTTCCGCTGGCCCCAAGAAGCTGAGACATTGCAAGCGAAGTTCGGGGAAAGCTCGAAACAGAGAACTCATGGCTCTGCATTTGACCCGCTACAATGCTGAGCTTGAGCTGCTGGGGCGAGTCGTCATGGCCTGTAAGTTCCCTTGTAAGTTCCCTAATATAGGGGCCAGAATCGTTCGAATAGGGTTTTGGGGCCCATTCTACTATACATACAATAAGGACCCCCCCCCAATAGTACTGGTAATTCATTTTGTTTTATTAAGTCCCCTCGACTACTCTCGGGAAGCCCCAAGTAGCTTAATCACAGAACTTGGGGCTTGATGCGTAACCGAGGGGGTCGCTGTAGCTTAGTTGCTGAGTTCATAAGCCCCCAAAAGTGTACACTTTTAGCTTTATGGTGGGCAATATTATCCCCAAAAGTGTAAAGTGTATCCACTCCGCTACTATGGTAGTGAGGACAACGGGTAGCTCTCGTCTGTGCATCGGTTGGCACGGGACGGCAGTTGCTGTTGTCTGGCGACAAAGAACGGTCATTATGGTGTTCCTCAGCAAACAGAATCGAGACATGCAAGACTGCATGAAGGAACGGAAAAATTATCGAACCAATAAATGAGTGAGTGGGGGAGGGATACATGCAGAAACGTGCAAGTAAACAAAACCAGCATCATTTCTTGCGCACTTAGGGCCTCGTACCCCCGTGATGTCACTGTCTGGAGCAGATTGAGAAAGAACCACGTGCCCCAGTGCTCAGACAGGACCTATCATGTGGCTACATCGCTGGAGCGTGCGTCGGGCAGGCCAAATGTGCGTTTCTCGAGAGAAAGAAACGCTGTTCTAATCATGTAGGGTTTAGGGTTCTAGGGCCCTGAGCCCTAAACCCAATCATGAACCCTACACCCTAAACCCAATCATTGAAGCCACCGTGTTGATACCCGCATCAACTCGTGCGACCGGGGTGCACCGCCCAAAAATTCATCATCCTTGACTTCTTCTGAACGGTGGTTCAAAGGGGAAAAGGAGGGACCCTTAATGGGGACGCTATACAATAGCTATATTCGGGGTATATTATATACCTAGGGGTCCTTATTAAGGGTCCCTCCTTTTACCCCTGGAGTTTTGTAAGGTTGTTATCGGTTTGTATAGGGTTTGTGTTATTTTACATGGTTTAATGCGGGGCATTTACATGTAGACTGGAGTTTGGAGCGGAAATGGGGACTGCAAAGGGATGCTACGGTTGATGATATAAATCCTGCATTACCTTAAGGACCCTAAACTAGGGGAATTATGGTAAATTCCTTATTATGGGTAATGCAGGTTTTTATATCATCAACAGTTACAAGTTACAACCCCTGTGTCTATGGGGCCGGCGAGGTTTGTTCCCAGGAATGCAGCGTTTTCGGCATCCCAAGCATGCATGCACAGCAACGAGTCCCGGATACCTTGTCGCATTAAATGCCTACTGTACGGATCAAAGGACCCTGTAGTAGGTCTAAACACGAAAGCGACCCACTTAGGATGCCTATGATTCTGCTTGCACTCCAGTCCCCTGATGCTTTGGGTATGGTCCTAGGTTTCCACTAATTCCTCATGCATTTTCGGGATTGCGATGGGTAGGGATTGGGTACTGCCACCCCTCATACAGTATCAGTGTACAATAGGGCTACTATGAAGGTCCTAATATATATATATATATATATATATATATATATGTGCATATATACATATATGTGCATATATGTATATCCATATTATGAATATTATCCAACTGTTACTGAGCGGGGGCGGTACCCAACGTAGGGATGCCTTTAGTCCTACCCTCCGCTGCCACCACCCCACCGAGAGGGCAAAGAACCCAACCCCCCCGGGAAGATCCAAAAACTAGATCCACTAATCATAATAACAACCGTCATAATAATAACAATAACAACAATAATAATACTGATAATTATAATTTGGGACCCTATGCTATTAAAGGGAACTGTGTAGGAAGGAAGTTCGTAGTATATCTGGAGGTCGACATGTCGGAGCAGTTATTGCCAAATTCCCCATACTTTCATTTCTGGTGTACTGCACTTATGCTTAATTGCTCAACTCTTCGGCTCACCAAAACATTATAGGTAGTAATATTAGGGAGACCCCTTAAAGGGTACCCCTTCTGAACCCTACTTCTGGCTCTCTTAAAAGGGGCCTTATTGAGAGGGTCTATATCCCCAAGGGTCCCCTAATCCTAAGTCCCACATTAACACGTTTACACCCAAACCGATTTAGGGCCATTCAGCTGTCAGCCGGGAATCCAAGGGGAAAAGGAGGGACTCTTAATAAGGACCCCTAGGTATATACCCTTAATATAGCTATTATATACCCGTTATATAGCCCATTATAGGCTAGGGGTCCCCATTAAGGGTCCTTCCTTTTCCCCTTTGAGAGAAGATCCCCCCTTTCGAATGTCAGTGCGTCCTCCTCATTGTGCTTCGGTTGCACAGGAGGCGGCGTGGGCGGCGGTATCGGCACGGGGCGCTGCACCTCAGAAAGAAGGTCCAACAGCGCTTTGGGGCATATTGCCGAACTTATAACAACGCACCCTAAGGCTTGTTGTTGGTATGTGCTCGTGCATCTACTTTATGCAGAAAGGCCCGCCCATCCAGTGCTCTCGCTACCACAGATAGGGTTGTTAAACGATTGGAACCCTAGACCCTAAATCCTAAAACCCTAAGCTTGGGCGTTGCAGCTTTGCTTTCCTGGATGGGGGTGGCCAAGCATAGTCTGTTGGCCGGGTCGAGGTCTAGTTCAGAACCAGATCTTGACCAAGACCCTAAACCAAAAGAAGTAAGGTGCTCAACCCTCAACTTACCTTTGGTGAGCAGGGAATGGAGGAATGGGGTACAATTTTAATTACTACTACTACCATTTCCATTCCCTACTAACCAAAGGTAAGTCAACCCTGAAGCACTACACCCCAAACTCTAGAGTACAGTGCTCAACCCCAAAACCTCGAGGCAGAACCCTAAATGCTCAAGTACCGACCCCTGGAAGAAACCTTAATATAGGGCTCTTAACAATGCGATTAGGCTTTGGGGACATATTATACTATAATTATAAACAGGACCCCCCCTTCAAAAAAATAGTATGGCAATTATTAAGGCACCTATCTTAGTTGCTGAGTTCATAAGCCCCCAAAACTGTACATTTCTAGGTTTATAGTGGGTAATATTATCCCAACAAATGTAAAGTGTATCCACTCAGCTACTAAGCTAAAGTAAACCACAGATCAGATCATGGGTCACTCGGTCACCGGTAGGCCCTAAATAGTGGGTTCCTTTAGGGGGCTTTGGGTTGAGGTTGAGGGTAGGCAGGGGGTCGTGGTTAGGGTTTAGGGTAGGGTTTCGGGTTTAGGGGGTAGGTAGGCTTCAGGGCTTAAGGGTTTAGGGCTTTGAGTTCAAGCTTTAAGATTCCTGTTGCCTATTGGGAGTCCCAAAACAACACATGAAACATCGGTACTCGTGAGGAACTTGGGATGACTCCTGACAGGACACCTCCACCCTCTAAGCCCGAGGCGGAGAAGCATGAGAAGGTATGGGGTTGGGGGTAGTCATAGGGATCCTTAGGGGTGTAGGGGGGAGGGGTGTAGGGGACTATATTTCCTTAAATAGGCCTTATTAGTCCTGATTATGGGCCTTAAGGCCCCCTACCCGCCCTCCCCCTACACCCCTAAGGATCCCTATGAGGTAGGGTACACCGCCATCATCAAAAGGAGCTCCCAGGAATGGTATGGCTAAGTATCTAGGCTTCCTGTTTAAGGGCGGAGGATCTAGCATGTGATTTAGGGCCTAGACCTTTAAGAGTTGACTGCGCTCTACTAATATCAATATTAAGAAGACTGACATATGACAGAATAATAGAATGCAAATACTACTAAACATCATAAACATAGTCATCCTAATAGCAATGAGGACAAAGATTGAAGACTAACAAGAAAAGTAGTAACAACATATAGCAACAAGAAGCATAAGCATACTAATACTACTAAACGACTACTAACAATAGTAGCAATAGTACTAGTGTTAAGAATAACAGTGAAACAAACAATCATAACAACAATGAGAAGCAAGAATAGCAATAACAATAATGATCTTTGGGCGCTGCTTTCTCCACATTTTTCTTCGATGTAGGGTTCAGGGTCTAAGTCCAGGGCTGAAAAAGGAAGGGCCAATTCGACAACCTGTGCTAGGATGCCCAGTAACCTCGGAAAAAAGGGGCTCCCTGTTTGGTATTGGGTAACTTCATAGGGAACCTAGGACCACAAAAAGGCAATAAGGGTACTACTGGGCATCCTACTGTGTCGATTCGTATATTCAGCAGCGACCGTGCAACCCTCCAAGTGGCCGTCCTGGGATGCGAGAAGAGCTGTCAATGCGCTGTCTCTCCCAAAGTTTCCAGTTTGAGGGTTTAGGCTCTTGTCAGTTCGGTGTTTAGCAGGCTTCGCCACCTCAGCGCATCCATTCTCTGATGCGAGCAGTAATTGAGGCTGTGATGCCGTGCCAGCCAGTGTCATCTGTGTTAGCACCACCTTTCGTCAGCAAGCGTGCAACCTCCAAATGGCCATTCTCGGATGCCCGCATTAGGGCTGTCTTCCCGTAAGCGTCAAGGTGACCAACATCGGCACCGGCTTCCAGCAGCAAGCGTGCGATCGGCAGGTGTCCATGTTTGGATGCGAGTAGCAAAGCTGTCATGCCATGGCTGCCAGTGTGATCCTTGCTCGCGCCAGCTTCCAACAGCAGGCGTGCAACCTCCAAGTGGCCTTTCTCCGATGCACGCATCAGGGCCGTCATCCCGCAATCGTCAACGCAATGTTTGTCGGCATTCTTTTCCAACAGCAAACGTGTGACCTCCACACGGCCATTCTCCGATGCGAGGTGTAGGGCTGTCTTGCCGCCAATGCCAGTGCGATCTTTGTTCGCACCAGCTTCCAGCAGTAAGTGTGCAACCTCCAAGTTGCCTTTCTCCGATGCGCGCATTAGGGCTGTCTTCCCGTAACTGTCCACACGACATGTGTCGGCACCAGCTTCCAGCAGCAAGCGCGCAATCTGCAGGTGTCCGTTTTTTGATGCGCACACTAAAGCTGTCATGCCATCGCTGCCAGTGTCATTGTTGTTGACACCGGCTTCCAGCAGTAGGCGTGCAACCTCCAAGTGGCCAGCCTCTGATGCGACCACAAGCGGTGTCAAGCGAAGCTTTTGCAGAAAGATTTGAGGGTCTTCGACGGCGCCGGATTCCAGCAAGCAGCGAGCTATCTTAACGTGATCCCGTCTAGCAGCTTTTAACAGATCCTCTGCAGCACGGTCTCGCGTTTTGTCGGAGACTCGCAGCAGTACACAAGCTGCAGGTCCAAAGACGCATCAAGCTCGACAGCATCAGACAGGACACCACTGTCATGTACGAGTTGCTGTAGGTACACCGGAAAACCATGCAACTCATTGATATGCTGCTTCAACGCCGCGACATCTTTAAACTTCTCTGTGCTCTCGATCACCAGCACTTCCCCAGAAGGTCTCAGCAGACGGAGCATTGTGCGCTGGTGGCAAACCTTTCGAGATCTGCCCGGACAAAGACAACCCCAGTTGAGCTTCATGTAGCTTCAGCGGTGAATCATGCAGCACGAAAGACATCGTCTGAAAGGGTATATACCCTACCCTAAACAAAGAACCCAAGGGCATACTACAGGCTTGCAGAGGGGCTACAAAGCGAGCACCCGGAGCCTCCTAAAATGTGAGTCTGGGTTCGTGTTAAGGGGGTAATTTAAGTTACCATAATAAGGAATCCATATTATTCACTGTAGATCCCGACTATGGTAACTTAAGTTAAATTTCTTAAACCGAAACCCCTAGAGGAGGCCTTATGAATCCCGAAGGGAACCTTTGTAGATCCCTTAAAGCAACTTACAGATCCCTATGGTGGAAACTTAACTTAGAAGGGTCCCTTCAAGGGATCTATAGGGGCACTATAAGGGTTCAGGGTTTGGGGTACTTGGAGGATCATGCGACTTAGTAAGGGGATGAGTTCCTTAACTGAAGGTGTAACGTGGTTATAAGTCTAGTTACGTTACTTACGTGCCTAAATACTAAGTCCCATGATCCTTCAAGTATGTTGCACTGTTGGACTGTGCTTACACCTCAAGGATATAAACGCTGTACAAATTTACACTAGTGAGGCCCGAACACATTGCGACTGTTGCTACATGCGCTGCGATTTCTAGGCCTGACATTGCGGCCGGTAGCATTGCGAAATTCATGAGCAGACCCAGGTATTTAACACCCCGGTCGGCTTGTGAAAATTTGCTTCGGGGCTGAGGACCCTAGCCTTACCTTATTTTGAAAGGCATCCCTGAGCCCCGAAGCGTAATGTAGGCACCTGATTAAGAAACCTTGGACCTTTATTAGGGTTCCTTTAAAGGGGTCCATAAGGGTTACTTTAAAGGATCTATAAGGGTATTATAATAATGTAGGAGCCTGATCAAGAAGCCTTGGGCCTTTAGTAGGGTTCCTTATCTGAGTTCGAATGTATTGGGGATTATAAGGCCAGGGTTTCTTAATCAGGTTCCGGCATTAAGCCCAAGAGGCGGCTTTTCCGGGTTTTATGGCTTCCACTGCGTTGTTGGGGCTGGAGCACAGCTACAGCTTGGGGTTGTCGTTCCCTCTCCGTGCGCGAATATCCAAATTGAGAGGTTGGCGAAGAGTCTATCACCTAAAAACGCCCCGAAACCCGAAACCCTAAACCCTACGGTTGATGATATAAATCCTGCATTACCCATAATAGGGAATATACCTTATATTTCCATAGTTTAGAGTCCTTCAGGTAATGCCTGCTTTAGATCATCAACCGTAGCCTGGAGCCGATGGGCCCTGCAATCCCGTGAGCCCTCAAGTTGTGGCCCGGAGCCTACTTGGAGGATCATGGGACGTCGTAACTAGGCTTTAAGGGTCTCTTTAAGGGATCTATAGATAGAGCTTCTATAGGGCTAGGCTTTAAGGGTCCCTTTAAGAGATCTATAGGTAGGGCTTCTATAGGGCTTAGGGTTGAAGAAGTAGAGTGACCCTTTACCTTAAACAGGGTAGGGTCTAGTACAGCGACAGCTACCCTATCTAGGCCATCCTACAGTAGCCTGTATATCCACATGCATTGTATATAAATATATACAAAGCTTATATTTAACTCTCCATATGTATATATCTCTATATATATATATAGACAGATATCTACATGTATGTATGTTATATAAACATACACGGACATATACAACTTAGATAACCCTATACTCCATACCCCCCCTGGAAGACAAGGTCTTCTTGGAGATCCCCACGCAAGAAGCCAGCTCCAAAAAGAAACCTAAACCAGCACCAGAGAGCCCTAAATCTAAGTCCTACCTGGAGGATGATCGGACTTAGTAACCAGGGGCAACAAAACTTGTTGTCACTTGTAGCCCCAATTAAGGCACCTACTAGGTGCCCAGATCCACCAAGCAACACCCCATGCAAGCTCTTTCAGACGAGAAGACAAACCCAGTCCTAAACCCTAACCAACTCTTCAGATGCGGCGCTTTGTCAGCCTCGGGCGCCTCAAAAAAGTTCGCGATCTCTCGGCACCTCGTCGGCATTTGGGGGTTTTCGGCTTCCTTCCAGCGGGGGCTCACTTCTGCTCCTGTTCCGCTTGGACCCAAAGTGCGTGCAGCTTACACCCCGTGTGCCGTTCCTTTGGGGCTTCTTGCAGGATCATGGGACTTAGTAATTGGGGTTATAAATATGGTAACTATAGTTTTAATTACTTATAACCCCAATTAGGGTACTTTATAAGCTTACTTTCTAAGTCCCATGATCCTCCAAGTTAGGGCGTTGGGGTGTTGGAGTTGGAGGGTTTCGACCCCTAGGGATAGGAACTGAAAAGTTTAATGTAGGTACGGCCCCCATACAGTAAGAGTCTATAGTAGGGCTACTATTAAGGTCCTAATATAACTATATTATGAATATTATTCAACTATTACTGAGTGGGGGCCGTACCTAAGGTTTAATGTAGGGGCCTCAATAGTTAGAATAGGGTTTTGGAGTACATTAGGTTTAGGCCCTTCAAATCAGGGTTTCAGTTGGGGTACATTATACTATAATCATAATAATAAGGAGCCCCCCCCAGTAGTATAGGTACCCTATATGAGGCCCTTAGGGCTTTCGGCAAATCGCAACAGAATCAGAGGGTATAATACGGCCAGCGTAGACCCCAAACTGCAAAACAAACGCGCGTGTACATCCCTGAACAGATCACGACGACCTAAACCCTAATTCCGAACCCCCTCAAGCCCTTAACCTGAAGCCCTAAGCCTTTTAACAGATCTAAACTCTGAACCTAAACCCCTAAACAAACCCCTAAGCCCTCAACCCTAACGAAACCCCAAGAAGAAAACCCGTTTAGGGGTTTAGGGCGTTCCCAGGCCAGGGTGCTGCAAGAAAAGTGTGGCGACATATCGCTCCGCCTGAGAAACCTGCGCGGTTCTGTGGGCTTCTGATACAGGGGCCTCAATAATGAGAATAGGGTTTTGGGGCCCATTATACTATGTTCATAATAAGGCACCCTCCCCCCAAAATATTATTGGAAAGTATTTAGGCCCCTAGATTACAGGGTTCTTGCATGTTTTCAAGGAGCTGCTTTTTGGGTTCACATGCGGCTTTAGGATTTCGGATGTATCCATTCTAAGGCCGCAGAACATAGATCAAAAGGTCAGGAGCTGTATGCCAAATCATCCTGGATTACGGGGCTGGGAGTTGATTGGATTCAGGTTGGGGGTTGAGTGTGTGGGGTGCCGCCCTCCCGAAGGCGAACATCGGTCACAGAAACAAACCCAGAAGATGCACAACTGTGTATCGTGCTTTTTCTTAAGAATTGCATGCGGGAATACCTGTACTGCGGCGATTGCTGAAAGGCTCCTACGTACGACACTCACGGGTCCGGAGCATGACGAAAGCTGCGTTCAAGCTAAGAGCTACGCCCTTGACCATAGTCTGGTTCTTGTTGCTGGACCACGTAGCCACCAGATGGGGATATGCATATGTCTATGTCTCTGTCTATGTATATATAAGGAAGGAAGGATGTGTATGTGCATGTGTATGTGCGTATATATCTATACACTAAACCCATCTTTCCTTAATATTAGAATTGCAACTGCAACCCTAAACTCTGGACTCTGAACCCTAAACCATTCAACCACCCAGTAGGTCCGAACCGCCCTGGTCACCTCGGCGATGTGTTCCACTTCTTCCATGGGAGCCCTCCTCACGAGCTGGAGAGCCATCTCCAGATTTGGGATTTCGGGTTGCGTATTGCGGGCTGAGTCAGGAGCAAGATTATACCATCATGGTCTCTTTATATAATGATAATAAGGAACCCCCGACAATAGCTTAGGTCATTCTTTGGACCCCGATAGTATCCCATCATGGTCTCTACCTAACTTACCTGTGCCATGCTGGAGCGCTTGAAGGACTTCGAAGGTCTCGACAGTGCCTGTGTCTGGGGTTCCTTGTTTTGAAAGAGAACCCCAGACCCCCCGGGAGGATCCAAAAAGTAGATCCCTTCATGGGGGCTTCCTATAAAGTACCCTTAGTAGTATAGGGCCCCAAATTGGGGGGATCTACTTTTTGGATCCTCCAGAGGGGGTCTGGGTTGAAAGAAAAGACGATGATACGGGCTCTAAGCCCGAAACACACCATCCGAAGCCCTCAACCCCAAAACCCCAAAGTCTGGCAGGAGCCCCGCATTGATTGGGTTTAAGGTTGAGGGTTTAGGGGCAAATTCGGAGCTCTACTTTCTAGATGGGAGTTTCCCACAATAGGGGACCCCAACATAGTACCCTAAATGGCAGGATCCTTGTTATCAGGACCCCTAAATACCCCTAATTTTCGGAAACTCCCAAACCCTAAACCCCTTATGAAACCCTTAAAGATCCCTTAAAGGAACCCATACAGATCCCTTTAAAGGTACCCTCAACGGCCTAGAGCCTTACCCGGCCGACGAGATGCCCAAAGCGCTGGCTTTTGCTCAGCAGAATCTGAGCTTAAGCCCAATGAAGCCATCATAACCTGGGTGCTCGTCAAATTTAGGATCCCCTGAATTATAGGTGCCGTATTAGAATAGGGACCCAGACAGGGACCATAATGATGACAACCACCCAACTCCGTATAACCCCCTTCCCCTCCCAACAAAACACCCTACATACCTTAAGAAGTGTTGTACACATGGGTGTCTGTCAAAATTCTGGTCCCTTATGGGGTCCCAATTACAATACGGCACCTGGTATTTAGGGTACCCTAAAAGGGACCTTAATTTTGACAACTACCCACATATTTACAGAATCTCATGGAAACCCTACAAAAGCTATAGTCTCTCCTCGTTTCAGAGGGCGCGGAGACCGGGCCTTCTTGGCCGCACGATCGCTACCATGGCTGGGGCATCTCAGGCTGAACTAGGTTGGCCCTTTAAAGCCTCTGAATTTTTTTCGTAAATAAAATCCTACTAAGCCCAATAAGGGAAAACATAAAATGTCCCGAAGGCCTACCTAGTGAAAATATGGGATACTGGAAGGATATAGGGTTTAATTAGGCTTTGGGTTTTTGGTTAAGAGTCCTCTTTCCATGTAGGAGCATGCTGTAGCCGATGTGTTCAATTCTGCTTCCCTAAACCCTGAAGCCTAAATCCTGAACTCTTTATGCAATCATCGTGCACCCTGGCACCTTTTCGAGCTTTATTCTTTTTTCTGCCGGGGGCCATAGCCTAATCGGCTGCCACGTCCAAGCAGTGCAACAACCTTACGCTGCAACCTCGGATCAGACATTTTGGGATGTGTAATCCATGGGGGAAAAGGCTGGCAAGCAATGCGTTTTGAAAGCTCTTTCGGTCCGCTCATTGTTTCGTGTATATGTCCCAAAGAAACAGCACGCACGCTGACTCTACATTTTGCAGCTTTCGCTTCGCGGGACTCTGACCTCGCCGCCGCCTCACAGAGTTAAACAGCACTGCGGGTTTAGGCTTGTGGTGCTGTGTGCTGAGCACCTCAGTTGAGCCAGCAGGCGGGCACCTGGCCGGCGTTTTCCGCGGTTTGCTCGGAGAACGAAGTTCCCCGGCAAACCCTTAATAGGAATAGTGTCTTTTTTCCTGTTGCTCAGTTCTCTGTGTGGGGTTTCCGAATGAATTGGGGGATCTTCAGGATTAGATCAAGGATATTTGGTGATTAGAACCGAGGGGCCACAATTCCGAGACTGCAAGGGCCTCTACATTGAGATCGTATTATATATGTCGTGTTTGGAACTGGGATACGTAGAGGGTCGGAAGCTTGCTTGAAGACGGGTCAAGGATTGACGGTGTAAGGATTGCGGTTTAGGCTGGATCCTGGGTGTTCAAAGGTCTAGGTCTTCTTTGGACGTTCAGGGTCACCGAAACCTAGTTTGAGGTGGAAGTCCTGCAGAATGATGCGATTTAGTCTCTAAGTTTCGAAAGGGTTGGGCATTCGCAGGGCCGAGTCCCCAAGACCCTTTCAGGATATGCCCCCAATCTACAGTCGAGAAGGGTACTCTTGTTTTTCAAGCGGCGGCAGTGCGCTACTCCCAGACAGCGATTGAGGCTTCTACAGGCGTTGAAAGCATCTTGGCTGCTACACCGGACCTTTGCAACTGGACTACTCTGTCTTACTGTCCGTACGCAGCGATTGGATCCTCAGGGCTGTTCGTACTGCTCTGGCCTCTTGGCACGAGCTCTTTTGGGTATGCTGAGCTTTACACCAAGCTGAACGAGTCAGGATGTCACTTTTGCGTTGAAATCTAATGGAGATGTGTCCATTGGAACAAGAACACTTTTCATGGTGAGCTTTGCAGCATCAAGCTGAGAAAGATTGGATTTTGGATATGGCTGAAGGTTTCCTATGACGCTTTTGTTTGTCCATCAGCAAAGTGCCCACTCTCACACAACACATGCAATGCACAGCGACACAGATTTGCATGGAGCATAGTGTGGGCCCGCGCGTCGTGTCCTCCACAACATTTACAGGCTGTGGCAGTTGTCCCTCTGGGCTCGCCATCTCTATCGAAAAAATCCAGTGCCCAGGACTCATCGAGCAGGGCTACAGGAGAGCATCGTCGAACAGAAAGCTTTCAATCTGAGGCCCGGTTGTGCATCACAAGCCTGCTTCGCACACTTGTGGCCAGGCACTTGTGGCCAGGGCTCGACTGATGCTAAAAACTCCATCTTTGTTCACGTGCGTGGCTTCTCTTGCACGATCGCTGCAAACTGGTCTGGGGTCAGGGTCTTGCGAGCGTTGGTGCCGTTGGGGTAGTCTAGCTCCACATGAACAGATCCGACCGGGAGCGGCCCGCCTTGATGATCAAGACAGGGTCTGTGAGCTACACCAAGGATCCGGGCAGGAAGGAAGGCACCGTATGTCTGGCTCCATACTGCCAGCTGAGTCACATCCGAGAATCCCTGTGGTGTTTCGTAGCCCGGCGACTTGGTGCATTTGGCGTCTGATGGTATTGTGACCGCCTGAGGCAGTGCGGGGTGTTGGTTGCATCGAGGGTATCCGTCCTGCTTGCGACTAAGCGCGTCTTGGAGGGAGTTTGCCATGATCCATGGCTCGGAGATATCGTCAAGATGACGCTGCAACAAGCACACTGTGGAGCTAGCCTCAATGCCCCTATTCTCCCAAACGAACTTGAACTTCCCATTCGCCCAAAATGCTACGGCCGCGAACACCGTACTTGTAGCTGCTGTAGTAGATGTCTCGGAATTTGCCCCAATTGTCAAATCGACCGGTTTCCGCTGCCCTTGGACGGCGGCTAACGCGGCCTGCCCTCCCATGCCGACTGGGACATTTCCTGCAGGATATGCGAGATTTCGAAAATTAGGGGGTACCTTATTTGGGGATCCTTATACTAAGGATCCTACCATGTAGGTGTACTGGATTGGGATCCCCTATTTTCGGAAACTCCCGTATAATTCCAGCATCAGACCGGGTAGTAGTAACACTGGCGGTGGTAGCAGTAGTATCGTAGCAGCAGTAGTCGTCGCGGCAGCATTGCTGTTTTGTAGTTTGTAGCTAGTATGTAGTATCTAGTAGTAAGTGGGTGGACTAGTGGTAGTGGTAGTGGTAGTGGTAGTAGTAGTAGTAGTAGTAGTAGTAGTAGTAGTAGTAGTAGTAGTAGTAGTAGTAGTAGCCAGCGGCGTGTTTACCGTACCCGTGAAATCGGCTACTGGGGACTGGGGGGGGGGGATAATAACGACATGGGAGGGGGCTAATAACGGCAGTAACACAGTAGCGCCGGTAGCAGTAGCAGTGGTAGGATGCTTGTAACAACGTGTCTTGCTCCACATTCTTGTGCAGCATGTACAAAAAGCCAAAAATGCTGTAAATACCAGTGTTTTGGGCATGACCGCCAAAGGCAATCACATGAACATTAACCTGACCATCTTCATCATAACCATCATCCTCGCCATCTTCAACATCATCGTTAACTGCATCACCGGCCTTATGTTGATGATGACGACGATTATGAGGATGATGATAGGGATGATGACTATGAGGATTATGATGAAGATGATCAGGTAAACGATGATGTTGAGCATGGCGAAGATGATGGTTATGAAGATGATGATGAAGATGGTCAGGTTGATATTCATGTCACTGCCTTTGGCGATCATGCTCAAAACGCTGGTATTTACAGCATTTTGGGCTCTTGGTACAACATGCTGCACAAGGATGTGGAGCAAGACACGTTGTCACAACACACGCGCGTAAACCTTTTCGAGCAACGCCTCCCACACAAAACGCAAAACAGCCTTGTCATTTGCGCACTTCCAAACTACACTACTACTACTACTACTACTACTACTACTACTACTACTACTACTACTACTACTACTACTACTACTACTACTACTACTACTACTACTACTACTATTGCTTACTGCTTACTGCTACTGCTACTGCTACTGCTACTGCTACTGCTACTGCTACTACTACTACTACTACTACTACTACTACTACTACTACTACTACTACTACTACTACTACTACTACTACTGCTACTGTTACGATTACGATTGCTGTTACTGCTACTAGTGCTGGTACGAGTACTACTATCTCTTAGTGCTACTGTCACTGTTACTGTTAATTTCGCTCGTTTGTCGCATGTTTTGCGCTTTCCAATATTTCCGCGTTTTGCGCGTGTTTCACGTCGCTTCCGCTCAGCTGCGACACACAAAGCGTTTCCGTAGGTAGTAGGCACCCCCCCCCAAACTACACTTGCTGAACAAGCATCCGCTTTCGTGATGTCGGACCATCTTATGTAGCCTCAAACTCGACAAGGGGGGCGGGGTGTGGGGCAGTATCTCCAAAGCAGCCATTCTACTTGGCATTTGCAGAGCTTTCGCGATGTCGGACATCTTATGTAGTCTCTCAATTTACTTCTGGACTTTGTGAACTAGAGCTTCGGATTTCGGAGGCCTTTGGCGAAAACGCGACATTGGGTGGGGGCGGGGATTTCTTTGGGGGATGATGACGACACTGTTTCGTGGACACCTCGAACGACATCTCCACAGCCTGGTGCACCCCCCCCCCCCCCCCCCCCCACACACACACACACACTAATATAGGAACCTATTAAGAAACCTTGAGCCTTTATTCGTCTTCCTTATATGAACCCTATTATGTTGGGGTTACAGGCCCAGGGTTTCTTAATCAGGTTCCTACATTAGTTCAAGAGCGAAGCCTCCTCCGCCGAGATGTGGACTTTAGGGGCGCTGGCGAGACCCTCCCGCGTACAGCTGGCATCTTCGTTTTTGATGTTTGTAAATGTTGCGCTTCAGGGTTTAGGGATGTTAAAACCTTCTCAGTTTCACCTGCGTTTTGCACGCTATTTGCAACGTTTTCGTAAGAGTAAGAAACTGTAATAATGGTGGTAATAGTAGTAATAATGGCAATAGTAGCAAGCAGCCATGGAATTAATAGTAGTAATCGTAATAGTGGTAATAGAGGCAATAGTAAGTAGCAGAAGCAGGAGGAGCACTAGGGACATAGGGTATGTGCAAGAAAGAAAGCAACACGGCTAAGATAAACCAGGTAGCGTGGTTCGTAGTGTCTTGGTTTGTGCAGCTTGTCATGCACCCGTCAGCGTTGTCCGGTTCACTGAACCCCGTTAGAACCATAGCATAAATAGTGTTTGACATATTCTCTTGGGTTTTATATGGGAGTTTCCGAAAATAGGGGTACCTTATTTGGGGGTCCTTATAATAGGGATCCTACTATTTGGGGTACTATATTAGGGTCCCCTGTGTTCGGAAACTCCCATATGAACAAAAATAACACATAATTCCTAAGGAGACTATAGTTCAGTATCGAGCCGTGAAGACCAAGAAGTTTGGGAGACAGCTTGGAGGATCATGGGACTTAGTAACTAGGGTTATACATAAGGTAACTATACTTACAAGTACTTATAACCCCAATTAGGGGACTTATAACCCTAAACCCTAAACCTAAACCCTAAACCCTATCCCCTGATCTTCTAAGATTCCTGCTCCAGGAGCGAAGTCCAAGCCCACTGCGCCTTTGGCTTTAGCCACAGTTTTCCTGGGTTGGCCCTTTAAAGCCTCTGAACAAATATTCGTAAAAGGGTCCTATTGAGCCCAATAAGGGGGAGTTTAAAATGTCCCAAAGGCCTACCCAGTTTCAAAGCTTCGGGATCTTCGGTGAGCAGCACTTTCACAGTGCAAGCGGTCTCATTCCGTATGGTATACGTTTGCGACATGCCCGCGAGGTTTTTGAGGAAGCCAACAGCCTTGCCCTCCATGTTCGTCTGGAGCGAGGGAGGAGATTTCTCTGCAGATGGTGGTAGCGGGAGCCGCCCACACTCTTCCACCACGGCCTTCACCGCTGTGGCCTTAAATGTCCGCACTGCCCTAGGACCTACATTGGAGCACCGGCTGCAGTTGAACTGCGAGGCACTGGGAGAAGGGAACCCCGAGACGATGGTCGTTGTAACCTGACATCGAAATCGGTAACTAGGTTGGCCCCTTAAAGCCTCTGAAAAATATTCGTAAATAGGGTCCTACTAAGCCCAATAAGGGAAAATGTAAAATGTCCCAAAGGCCTACCTAGCGGTAATGAACAAGGCCAAGCTGCAGCCATGATGCTTTGAAGCTTCGAGGTCGGAGGAGGTTGAGACTTTTCTTTGACTTGAATCGTACTTCCGCAAGAGCAGGGTCCGTGGGTACACGACAAAACAGCGGATAGTCAACCCCGTCAGATGCACGCCTTAAAAAAACCACTTGGGAACGCCTCAAACCCTTGTTTCCAGGATTAGGGTTCATTTTCGCCCTCAGGCTGAGTGCAAGATTTGATTTGGGGTGCGAGCCGGGGACTTCGTAAACCCTATACAAACTCTAAACCCCTAAACCCCTAATCAAGTTGCACATCATGAGCATGGAAAAGGATAACGCGGGCTCTGTAAGGTGCACAGTGGGCTTACATTGACTTATTGCTACCTTAAGGACGAAATCAACTCCAAAAGGGTTTAAGGTCCATATACCATATAGGGATTCATAGCTTAAGGGTATAGGGCCCCTAATTATGAGGGTCATTCGGTCCCCAAGGTAACCTTGCTGCCTGTCTCCAGCCTGCCCCTGAACTTGTACTCTTATGTAGATGTGATTTTGATGACATGGCTTTGTTTCTTTCTTTGAAGGAACACAAGACATGCCTGATCTACATGCGCATATTGAATGTATGTCTGCAGGTATGCGCGTGTTGCTGTGTGTGTAGACTTAAAAACAGATGAATACATCTATCTATCTGTATATACATATATGTATATACGTATACATAAACATATGTAAGTACAATACATTAATGTACATATATATATATATATATGTGTGTCGTGTTTAGACCTGGGATATTTAAAGGGTCAGAAGCTTCCCTGAAGAAGGGTCAAGGGTTGACGGTGTAAGGATTACGGTTTTGGCTGGATCCAGGGTGTTCGAAGGTCTATGGTCTTCCTTGGACGTTCAGGGTCACAGATAACCTAGTTTGTAGTGGAAGGTTTGCAGAATGATACGATTTAGGGTGTCAGGTTTGAATGAGTTGGGGCCGAGTTCTCAAGACCCTTTCAGGATACAACCCCGCCCAATCTACAGTCGAGAACGGGACTCGTGTTTTTTTCAGTGGCGGCAGGGCGCTACTCCCAGACAGCAATTGAGGCTTCTACAGACCTTGAAAACATCTACGCCGCTACACCTGACAAACCCTAAACCCTAAACCCTAAACCCTATACCCTAAGCCCTAAACCCTAAACCCTATACCCTAAGCCCTATACCCTAAGCCCTAAACCCTAAACCCTGTACTGACTAAACGAAGCGATGGGACCCTGAGGGCTGTTCGCAATGCTCTGGCTTGTTGGCAAGAACATATTTCGGCATGCTGAGCTCTGCACCAAGCTGAGAGAGTCAGGATGTCACTTTTGTGTTGAAGTCTAATGGCGATGTGTCCATTCCCACTGCTTCTAGATGTGCAATCCACGGCGACAGAGATTTGAATAGAGCTGAGTCTGCGCCAGCGCGTCTTATCCCAAACCAAAGCTGTACAGGCTATGGCAACTGTCCCCACCGACTCGTTACCTCTGTCGGAATAGCGCCTTCAGGATTCCTAAAGGAGCGAGGCCTTTCTTTGAAGCCCCGCATGCATTACGAGTCTGCTTGGCACATTTGTAGGAGAAGAGCAAGGAGAACGCGTAGTCACAAAGTGCTCAGGTGCGTGGAGGCTGCTCCTGCAACATCTCTGCAAACTGCTATGTGCATCTAGACTATCCCCAGGGCAGCAACGTTCTCAGGATCTTGAAAGCCCTGCTGCCGTCGGGATAGTCTAGATGCGCATGAACAGATCCGGCCGGGATTGCCTTGCCTTCACGATCAACGGTGGATCTCGGAGCGACAGCAAGGATTTGGGCAGGAACGAACCGATTCCAGGTCTGGCTCCACACCTCAAGCCGAGTCGCATCCAAGAATCCCATGGGCGGGCCTTGGTAGTCCAGTGCTTTCGGGGCTTGGTCGACTTGTTGACCTGGACACTTCTTGTATACAGGAATGATCGGAATGGTGCAAGAGTGTCCAAGACTTCCGACCCATGGAAGGCTTCTGCCATCCTGCTCGCGACTAAAGGGCCTCTTGCGGAGGGCTTGCGGGGTCCTTCTTTGGACTTTCGGAGTGTCCAGGACTTCCATCCTGCTTGAAACGAAGCGCCTCTTGAAGAGAGCTTGCTCTCATCCATGGCTCGGACTTATCGTCCAGATTGTGAAGCGGGCCCCCAAGTCTCTATTCTCCCAAATTATCTTGAATGCCCCGTCATCCCAAAATGCTGCAGCTACAAACACCGTGCCCGTAGATGCCGTAACTGATGTCTCACCATACGGCTGAATAGTGCGATGCACCGGTTGGCGCTGGCCTTGGGCGGCCGCATATACGGCCTGCCCTCCCATGCCGACTGGGATATTGCCTTTGGGGCGAGATTGCGAACACATCAGAGTAAACAACCCCACCAGCAAAGTAGGTTGGTACAAGAATCAGAGCAAGGCGGCTACTGATTAAGACCTCCTGGGTGGGACCTGGTAAATGTCAGCATTGAGCTGCCGAGACCGACAAGTTTGGGAGACAGGGCCTGCTTCGGGCACGAACTCGAAGCCCACGCCGCCTCTGTATTTTTCCATGGTCTTCAATGCCTCGGGATCTTCGGTTATCTGGACTTTCACTATGCAAGATGTGTCGTTCTTCAGGATGTACTCCTGCGACATGCCGAGCGCGCCCTTGACGGAGACGTAGACTTGGTTTGCAATCCCACCATCTGCGCGGCAGCTTCGCGTTTCCTCATTCGCCTCAGAGCGTTGCGGCAGTCGACGCCTAGCAAAGTCCAGAGAGGCAGCCCCAGAAAAGATAGTCATTGCAACACCAAGTCCTGAATAAGGTGGTATGACTACAATCAACAAGGCCAAGGCGCGGAGACTTCCTGGTGCGAGTAATGCCTGCCATAGTTCATCCTTCAACCGAGCTAACCCTCCTTGAGCGGACGTACTTCGAAGAGAAATCTGAATCCTGACCAGAGTCTGCCGCAGGCAATGAACACAACGGGGTTGAGGGTTCATTTTCGCCCTAAGACGTATGTTGGGTGCTGCAGGGAGCCACGATGCCCTGACTCTCACGTCTCGTCTGAACAGCTCTCGTTTATAGGTACTGGATGGATCGTCTGAACTTCCACATCACAAAGACCCAGAGGGCCAACGCTTAGTGCGGAGGGGTTCAATGTTTTGCAAGGTACAGAACGAGTGCCTGCTGTAGTACAGAGTATTAAGCACATGACCAAGAGCTCTAAAGTAGGGGCCTGCGCAGTCGGAAAAGGGCATATACATGCTTTCATAGGCTTTATAGGGCCTTATAGGGCTTTACGGATCCTTTTTAGAGGGTGTTTCTATGGGGTCCGTTTTCATTTTAACAGGGTCATGAGTTTTATTTTATTGTTGTACTTCAAAGCAATCATTAACGATAAGGGATCTCCAGTACAAGCTACGTCGACCCCGTTATTTTTTACACAAGTAGAAGGTTTTCAGGTCCATTATCTCACGCTCTGCCGCTCGTCAGCTTTCTGGTTTCCCAACTCTAGGAGAGACTGTCAAAAGCTTTAACTATTCTGAGATGTATACGACAAGAATTAGGCTTACGAGGTTTACGGTTTAGGTGTCGGCTTTCTCTTGTTATCCATGTACGACTTTGGCACGAAGAGGCTGGGGCCCCTCAGTCTGCGTTCTATCCACATCTAGACCCAAGAGTAACCTAGGAATAAAAAGGGTGCCCTTTTTGGGATAAAGGGGGTTATAAGGGAACCTAAACCCTTAAAAAGGGAATAAGGGCCTACTCTGGGTCCTAGACATGTCTCTACTAGTTGCCCCAGCAAGTAGCCCCTCAATATTGAGGGCGCCCTTTTTCTTCTGTTGAGTTCGAACCGGGACACCCTGACCCTAATGGCAAAGACCTAGTACATATGTATATATATATATGTATATATTTGTACATATGTAAATAAATATATATACACATACTATATTTATACACTCACATGGGCCATTCGTCGGTGGTCTACAAAGAACGACTGGAAGCCTCAACAAGCAAACACTTTTTCCGCTGTTATAACCCACAACACACTTATGCTGTAGTATACCCCGTAACTGCATTCTAACTATTGCGGCCCCGTTATACCACAAGATTTCCGCTTCATCTGCTTTCGGCCTGCATGAACTCAGCAGACACTAAGTTTCGAACTTTTCTGCAGATTTCGCCTCTGCGTCTTGGCAGGCCCACTCTTCTGCGACTAGGTTGGCCCTGTAAAGCCTCTGAAGCATGTTCGCAAGTAAGATCCTCTTAAGCACAATAAGGGGAAATAAAAGATATCCCAAGGGCCTTCCTAGGCGACGATGCCACTGGTCCACTGGTCCATTCCGACAGTTGGGGTAATCGCAATTCAGCGCGGGCAAGAGCTTCGCATCGATCTGAGCGCGCTTTCGTATGCGCTTCCCTCAGCTCCGTAAAGCCAACGTCCGGGAAGTCTGGCTTCGACGGAAAAGACTCTCAGCGCCCAGGCCCACTCGCCTCCGCGAATGATCACATGTCTGCTGCGTGGCCTGGTACAGAATTCCGGGACCGCGAGCTCTAATCTCCGGTCACGTGCACGGAGGCTGCTCGTGCAAGTGCGTCGCAAAAGCTGCCGGGCTCACGACCTTGACATGCTTGCTGCCGTCGGGATACTCTACCTCTAGATACACAGATCCGGCTGCAAGTGGCTGGCCTGTAGAATCAATGACAGGTGTGGGCGCCACACCAAGGACCCTAGCAGGAATGAACGCCTTGCACGTCTGGCTCCACGCTGCTAGTCGAGTCACGTCTAAGAACCCCTTTGGCACTGGTGTCGGATGGGGATCCTTCTTCGGACTTTCGGAGTATCCGGGACTTGTGTCCTGATCGAAACGACAGGCCGCTTGCGGAATGGCTGCCGGGATCAACGGGAGAAGCACCTGCTTAAAACGAAGGGCCTCTTCAAAAGAGTTTGCCGGGATCCACTGCTCGGACCTATCGTCCAGATGCTTCTGCAAGAAATGGATTGTGGAGCTGGCCCCGAAGTTTCTGTTCTCCCAAACGATCTTGAATGCTCCCTCGGCCCAAAATGCTGCAGATACAAACACAGTGCTCGTAGATGCGGTGGCTGATGTCTCGGAATTCGGCTGAATGGTGAGATCGACCGGTTTGTGCTGGCCCTGGGTGGCCACATCTGCAGCCTGCGCTCCGATGCCAACGGGGATGTCTCCTTCAGCACGGGATTGTCAAAACATCAGAAGCCATGTAATGCAGAAGCAAAGCAGAGCAAAAATCCAACAAACAGTCAACACGGCCAGTATAGAGTAGCTCCGTGGGAACGTTTGCAGTCCTTGAATTCGAGGAGCGTTTCAGTTGAAGCCGAGTGGAGTCCGGCTCAGCTGCTATCATGTCGGTAGACTGGCAAGCTGGCTCTTAGTTATGTTTACGTTTATGATTATGATTATTACTCGTATTACTAGTGTTGTTCTTACTACTCTTCGTATTCTTGTATTATGATTATGAATAATAATATTGATGTTATTCATATCAGCATTATTCTTGTTCCCACTATTAACTGTGTTATTCGAATTATTGTTATGATGATTGTTAATATTATTGTTACTAGTACTACAGTTATTTGTATATATGGCAGACACAGCTTTTCTGCAACAGGCTCTCCTGCGAACGTGAACTCCAAGTTTAAGCCGCCCTTGGCTTTCGCCACAGACTTCAAATTCTGGGGATCTTCGTTCACCAGCACTTTCACTGTGCAAGCTGTCCTGGGTTTCACTTATCCTACAACTGTAGTGACAAGGTGTCCTAAGAATCACAAAAGTAGCTAGGTTGGCCCTTAAATGCCTTTGAAGAACATTCACAAGTCAGCCATGCTTAGGCCCACGAAGGAAAAATGAAATGCTTAGAGGCCTGCATAGTGTCTCATTCCTCAGGGTATACGTTTGTTCCGCACCGACCACGCCCTTCAGGAGCGTGGCGGCCTGTTCCGCCATGCCCAGCAGTGGAGCGGTCTCAGATGCAACGAGATTGAACCTAAACTCCCAGATTCTGTTCCCTGGCCTAGACTTCCAGTGCCACGACATGGTATGAAAACCCTTTGCTGCAGCAGACCGTTGGGAATGACCAAGGACCATAGAATAGTCATATAGTCATTGCAGCCTTAGGTCATGAGTAATCCGGTCTTTGCAAAAAACAAGACCTAGATGCATGCTCCGGTATTTTGCAAGTGGGCAGATCATGCATGATGCTTCAAGTGCGGCTCCTTTTTCGTTCAGCGAGCGACCAAACTTGCCTTAGGCCAATGCTCATCGATCAGTATCGTTCAGCGCGTGAGACAAAACTGTGTTAGTACTGTGGCAAGGTGGAGGGTCAATTTGCGCGTCCATCACGGTGGCGCTTAGACTACCTGTAGCCCCATACATCACAAAATAGCAGGTTATGAGCCCTTACTTATCGGGTTTTACCACCCAAAATAGTAGGTTTTCGGATGTACAGGTAGGTCTTGTTGGAATAGCTGCTAGTTGGGGGCCGCCGGTTGAGTTCCAACAAGTCAACTTCCCGCCTCCGGCCTGCCAGTGGCCTTGGTCGTTTGTGTACGTGAGCATCATGAAGTGATTGTCCTGCCAGGACATCGTGTCGTTGTGGAAGGAGGACTCAAGTAGGAAAGGCCTAAATATATATACCATGGGGGCCTTGCGCTCCTTCAAAAAAGGTTTGGGAGCGTACGAAACTGCCCGCCCTATATTATGTGAATTTCAGAAGCAAAGGGATCCGCATGTAAGCCCGAGGCACCCTGAAACCCAAAACCCCAAAAAATTAAGGTTGGAATAGGGTTCCTTTAAAAGGGATCTTAATGAAGGGTTGATTATAACGGTTCTGTCATAAGGTCTTTATAAGGGTAGCTGGCCCAGGGTAGTTACAACAGGGCTTTGGGCAGTTTTGTATGAATGCAAAAGGGGCTCGCAGCATAGTATTGCTGATTCATTGCTGATTTTTCAGGCTTCTATTTTCCACACTGACGTCTAGGCCCCCCCCGCCTTTCCAGAGGCAAACGGGAAATCGCTCTGTAAACTTCAACCCCCTGCATAGCATGTCTTCGGGCATCACCTCTATATACCGTGAACCTCAATCACAACTGAATCCTTAGCGCTAAAACACTGAACTCCCACGACCCACTAACCCTACACACGAAATGCGTAGTAGACCCCTAAACCCCGTACTCCCGGAACCCTAGAACCTTGATTGCAATTGAACCCTGAATCCCGTTTCCCCAACTTCTTAATCCTCAGCCCTAAATCCCGGAACCGCAACACCTTGAAACCTTAATCTTCCTGCCCAGAACCCCTCGAGCCTCTTTAAGCAAAGGGGATACAGACTAGCGTTCTTGACATACGTACATTCACAGACAGTCTTGAACCCTAAACTTTGTGCCCTATACCCTCCGTTCTGAACCTACATGGTGGCACGTCTCAGCTGGCTTGGATCAGTCTCGGTACAGCATTCGGCCAGAAATCCTTCGCACATGAAGCCTAGCCCGAAACCCCTAAACCCAAATCCTAAATCCTCACGCCCAGGAGGCTGCTACGTCCCCATCACCGAAAACAGTTCATTGTTGGGATAGGATTAACCTTTTACATTTTTATCCCTTATTGGGTTTAAGTACCCATGGCAATGTAAAATGCTACCCAACTACGACAAAGGAAAACCCTCGTACAAAGTAAGCGGAGACCCAACAGGGAAGCCCCAAGCCCGAAGCCCTTAAACCCCGAAATCTCATAATCCTGACTTGGATAGGCAGTTTAGCAGCTTCAAGGCTCAAATGGGTCCCTATAACTATACAACCTTAGAACCAATTTTCAATATTCTCTTGGGCTTTATACAAACAAAAATAGAAAAGACTTCCTACGAAGACTGTAGTATAACCCCAAAGAGGTCGATCAACGAACTGAAACCTTTCAAGCTGAATTGCTAACCCATTTTTGGGAGGATCTAGAAAGTAGATCCCTTAATTTGGGGCCCTATACTACCAAGGGTACTTTATAGGAACGCCCAGTAAGGGATCTACTTTTTGGATCCTCCCGGGGGTCTGGGTAAGCGAAGCAACCGTCTCTGGCCTTGTTTGGAACACAGCCTTTTCCATGCTTGCGGCACTCATCAACATGGTTCCGAACAGCCTACAATTAGGCTCTTTATACTTAGGGCTTCAGTGCTTTGAGCTTCAGTGTTCTCCCGAGGCTTTTAAGGTGTAGGGCTTAAGGGAAGTAGGGTTGGATGCTTGCCGTTGGAGTCTTCGCTCGGGCTTTCAAGTATCGTGGACTGTTGCTGCTCAGCGCAAGAACTGCTTTTCTGGCCGATTTCTAAGCAATGCTGGATTCGGGACGTAGGACTGTGAGGACTGGCTCGGCTTTCAATTCTGTGAATATCGTCGTTGCGGCACACGAGCGAATCAGCTGCAGTTCCCACTTCAAGTCCCACGTCAAGCAGTTCCAGAATCTCACGCTACAACCTTTGAGGGGATCGACCTAAACGTAAAATTTATATAGCGGCCTTTTTAATGAGCATAGGGCTTTGGAATAAAACATTATACTACAATCATGATACTTATTTGAGCCCCCATTGTCAGTGACACTCCGACTAATTCTCAAGCGACCAGTCGCTGTGGCCATTTTGGGCTTGTAAGTCTCCTGAACAACAAGACAAGAGCAGCCTGTTCAAGACTCACTCCTAGAGTATGCCCAAGAAGTTTAATTTAGCTTTAGTAGTCAAAGGTTTAGTCACCGAGTAAGCCTTCGAACAGGCAAACTCAAAACTCAAGGCCGTGATCTTTTCGCTGTGCGAAACAAATGATGGACTTTGTCGCCTCCGCCTATTGTTCCCCGGCGCTGTACACTGGCAGCTCTACATGCCAAGCTCGTGAGGCAAGGGGAGTGGTCGAAGCTCAAGTGGTCTGTGATGACGGGAGCAGAAAAACAACAGGAGAGAGAGAGAGAGAGAGAGAGAGAGAGAGAGAGAGAGAGAGAGAGAACGAGAGAGAGAGAGAGATTCAGAAGTCTTAAGGCTGAAGTAACCTGTGTTCCGCGAGATAGCCCGAGGAAGCTTTGGGCTGGAATGGAGCTGTAGGCGTTTTCGAAATTCCGAAATCCCTCTGGAGTTTTGGGTTGATTGGGTTTGGAACAGAGCTCTTTGCGATTCGGCTGCGAAGTTTAGCCTTGAGGCAGGACCTAAATTCATGCCGCAGGGTCTCGTGGTGAGTGTTAAACCTAAGCCCCCGTAAACCCCATGAACGCCCATAATATAGGAGCCTTAATAATTAGAATGGGTTTTGTGTCCCATTAAACTATAACTGTAATAAGGAAGCCCCCAAAATGGTAGAGGTAAAAGTTACGCCCCTAGACTGAGCCCTGTATCGCCAACCGCCAGGGCCTAGACAACCGTATCCAGGCCTACAATTGCCGAGCCATCCCGCTCATATCGGGGCCTAAACAATTACCAAAACTCTTTGGGGCTCCTTATTTTATTTACGGTATATAGTATACACCAAAATCCTACTTTTGCAGTAATGCCCAGGCTCTGAGGGCCCAAAATCCTACTCCTACTCTGATTATTGATTATCAATGCCCCTGAACCTCAACCTTACAACTACCCTGAAAGTACTTTTCCTTTAAGTACTCTCATAGCCCTTATAGTACCTTTTTTTGTACCCCCAAAATCCAAATTCTCATTATTAAGGCCCCCAGAACCTCCCTATAGACCTCTAACCCCGAACCCTGAACATGAGTACGAGTGCCATGTTCGAATCTTTCTTTTTCAACAACCCGGCCCCCCAAAAGTTCAAACTTTCCAAGATAGAGCCAAAATATAAGGCCAAAAAGGTTTAAAGTTACCCCGTTGACCAGCTAAGGATTTTATGAAAGCCCCCCCAAACCTTAGCCCTACAACTACCCGTATAGTACCCTTATGACCCTTATAGTACCGTAACCTACACCTAACCCTAAACCCTCTCCCCAGACCTCCGGGAGGATCTAGAAGGGTAGATCCCGTAAATTGGGGCCCTATACTACTAAGGGTACTTTAAAGGAACCGCCATTAAGGGATCTACTGTTGGGATCCTTGCGGGGGTATGGGAAACCCGATTAAAGCCCCCTATTAAAGCCACCAAAAAGCACACAAGAAAAACCTAGGATAGTGATATCCCATATAAACCCCCTTAAAAGCAGGCCCAATAAGGTAGAGATGTCAAGGTAAAATGCTTATAATTATGGTCCCTAATTGTTGCGGCCCCTACCTCACGACCGGTGGGTCAGTTGAAGGCGGCGACTTCGTCGCTGTGCACGCGAAAGCGCAGCCGGAAACGTCCCCAAGGGTTTTTGAGGGGTTTAGGGTTTAGCGGGTTTAGGGTTAGAGGTCTATAAGGGGTTTGGGTTCTGAGGGGTTAAGGGTTTAGGGTTAGAGGTCTACAAGGCGTTTGGGTTTTGAGGGGTTTAAGGTTTCAGTGCATGCAAGGCTGCCTGGCTATTTACTGCAATGTAGTAGCTAGCCCGAGTTACTACAACACGTACTACTCGTACTCTTGCTGGTGGTCGTGCACTTCGTCTTCGTCTTAGTCTTGCTCTGACTTTTCTAATTCTCCTCCCTCCTACAACAACAACAACAACAACAGCTACTACTAGCACCGGCTGCTGCTGCGGCTATTACCACTACCACTTCTGCTACTACTACTGCTACTGCTACTGCTACTGCTACTCCTCCTACTCCTACTCCTACTCCTAGTCCTAGTCCTAGTCCTAGTCCTACTCCTACTCCTTCCGCTGCTCCTACTCCCACTCCCACTCCCACTACGACTAGTACTACTAGTAGTACTACTACTACCACCGCCACTACTCGGCGGTTTAAACGGGGGTTCCGGCTCGGTCCAGCGCTGCTTGGCCAGACATTCGAAAGATCAAGGTCAGACACCTTGAAGTCTGCGGGGAGGCTCTCAATTCCGGCTCTG